AAGGCTCAATGAGACACCCTCGTGAAGTCGAGCATCAACCATGTTAATAGGGGCAAGGAGGTATTTCAAGGGTAGTCAAATGAGAGCAGTTTCATTTTGAAGGCATTAAAATATACAAACCATTTTCTACTCTGGTCAACCACTAATTGGATGTCCTTTTTCGGGACCAACGACCAGATTAACTTTGTTAGAAATACTGGATTTACTATTGAGACTGCAGTAAATAGTAGTGTCGACTTCATAGAAGGCCTAAAAAACATCAAAAAGATCATTGACGAATATCAGAAACAGAGTAAGACGCAAGAAAGAGCCTTGAAGAACACCAGCGTTTGTGAGAAAGGAACTGGAAGAAAGCCCGTTCGGGACAACCTTCATTTCACGATTTCTTAGGAATGATTCAATTAAATCAAGTAATCGTCTTGTAATACCGTAGGGCTTAAGCTTGCATAAACGGTCAGCATAGCAAACCCCATCAAACGCCTTGTAGACATCTCAAGCCACAGCTCGAACTTCGCCGTTATTATCAAGAGTATACTATCGAGCACACAGCAGTCTTGATTGGCATGTTCACAAATACACACGCACTCAGATATATCAGTAAGAGTGGAGTACTTGTTGTGTGGGATATATATATATATATATATATAATATGCGACGTAGACTTAGTTTAAAAAAATTTTCAGCCTGCATATTGTTTATGCAAAATCCCCGGATACATTCGAAGACATTCCACGATTCGGTAGAAAAATTGTATGACGTAGGTTCTGGTGTCAAAATGCGCTCCTCACGGACAAGGATGAATGATATAGAATTTTGATCCTATAACTTTGCTTATTAAAATGTTTAAATCGAAGTAACAATAGTGTGGGAAAGATATACATGATAACAAGGCACTTCTCATATTAAAAAATGCGGCGAAATTGTCTTACGGTAAATATCCTATACGGCATAGATTTTATACGGCGAAAATACTTGAGGCGAGGTTTAATACGCCAAAAATGTTTGCGGCGAATGTTGCTAGAACCCTTTTATTCATTCATTTTCTTGCAGAAACCAAGTAGTGTCTTTTCCCCTCTTTCCACGTGATTAAAGCGAAATATTCCATTATTTATTAGGTATTGGTAGGACGTAACGGTCGTGCGTGCAAACGTATAGAAGAACAATCACAATTGTAATAGGATTATTTATAGTAATGTTTTACCATTAGGCTGAGCAATTATTGGTTTACTAACGTAACTGGATTCATTATGCAAAGTAATTGGATCATAATTATTACTTACAATAAAAATATTTAAACTGATTCACAAGAAAATATTAATTTGTTGAGATAGCTGATAATGCATTTTAGTACATAAAACAAAAAACGTCAATCAAAGTGAAATAACTTTTTTTATAATCAATCGTTTCAACTGGAAATTGTTAAAAAATAGTTTAGCACACTATTAATTTTTTAGAAAAGTGTATCGCTGCTCCGACTTCCTGAAGTTGATCTTTGAGGTCAGATACAAGACAAAACAAAGTCAATTTTGATTGGCTGAGCCAATGTGAGAAAAATAGATAGAAAAAGCTTTCCAGTGAGTTGTTTCTTAACCGTCAAACAATGTAGACGTAGTTACTTTCGTGTCTGAAACGTCTTTCAAGTGGAGAGAAACGTCTTCCAGAGAGAGAGACAGAGAGCGATCCCACTGGATAATTAGAAATGTATGTATGAGTCGACGTTAATAAAATAGCTAAGTTAACATTCCTTGTGTTGAAGTTCTTTCATCTGTGAACCAAAACAACTAATAATCACCAGTCGGGAGAAGACGATTGAAGGGCTTTATACTGGAACATACCTATTCTATTGTTAATAGACTCTCCCACATATAATAAGTAGTAGTAGTAGCAGTCTGGAAGTCACTCAGAGAGTTGGTGAGTCAGTCGATATCGGGCATTAAAGTATCAAACACCACAACTAGATTGCTGCGTCATTAACTATTATATCAAGTTCCTAACGTTTTGTACGTCGAACCTTTTTAGGACCAACTTAGTGAAATACAAGCCTCCACTGTCAAACTACTCTACAACAAAGGGAGAATGCAACTTTATTATTATAGAATTGACCCCGGTCAGCACAACATTATTCGAACTGTTATTCTCATCTTCATTGCCATATTCGCAACTCTTCTGGATGTCTCAGTTATTTCCCCCTAACTCAACTCTCCAAGAAGTTATTTTCTAAGCGTAGCTAAGATGTAGCACAAGGCCGAAAGTATGTTGGTGAGTTCGATCCTCACTGGGTGC